CTACACAGCTCAGTTCGAGCACGTAAGTAATGACTTCCTATCGTTTGTCAGGGATGATGCTAACTTATGCTATCCAGACCATCCTGCTCAGGCCAAACGTGAAGGAAGTAATCAGCCGAGGAGAAGATTATTAGGCGGGGTGAAACCGGCCAAGGATAGGTATTGTCGTGGGTTTTCTTTCCACTTATCAAGACTATCGTTCAGATATACATCAAAAATCCAAGCAATCGAATCCAACAAAACCGTGCCCGAATCTTTGCTGAGAGCGCACGAAGACGAGTGAATTCTGCTTTGAACCATTTCCAAAGGCAGCAAATGTCAGTCTGTTGTAAACGATACTGTAGTTGGGAATAGATTTAAGTCTGCCTCCAGGGCACGATTAGTATCCGCATCTCGGGAGGCTAGATAATCCCCCACGCTGATGTATCTATCGGCATTATTTCGCACAACGCTCAGGAACGCTGAGGTACTATCACAAGCATCCATGATGCTCAGATGTATCTGTTCGAATCCATGTGCTTGCATGTTACGCTGAGCTATCATTAGACCAAGCCCAGAGCCTGTCGTGTCAGCATGCTCGCAGCCCTGCCTTTACCTGTAATTCAAATGGTCTTCAACTTCGCCAGTCATTTCCGGCCCCATAACGGGATGCCGTTCCGTAGCCGGGCACAACGGGACATATCATAGTGGAGACCAGCTCCGACACAATGGTTCGGTACGGGAGGCTCGATAGATAGTATGGCCGGTAGTCTTGCGGATCGAAGGCTTGTGTCTCCGTGTGTGGTCATCCAGTAGCGGTCTGCGGTGATGTCAGATGCCATCATCACGGGCCCGGAATGGAAACCGATCGGAACCCGCAGATGAAGACGGGCGCCGGACGACACGGAACCCGGCGATTGCCTTACTAAGCACAGAGCTAGAGAGGACCCCTGCGCCACTTGAGGCTGAGGTGTGTCAGCATGGCGTCAATCAGAAGCATGCAGAGGCAAGATCATAGGCCGACCCAGAGCCGACGACCACTCATAGCCAATTCCCTTTCGCCCCCGAGCGAGACTTGTCTGGTGCACCGTTCACTGGTCGGCGAACTGGAACTGCAATATCCACTTATTTCTCCACCGCCAATCCGCGCATCTCTGGTTCTCCAAGGGTCCGATCGGCGGCGTCCAGAAGCACGGAGAAGGACATGACAGCTTCATCCGATATCCACCTCGGATATCCAGGTAACGTAAGAGGCGTCGGCCGCGGGTCGGCTGTCGGGGCCTGTAGCAGAAAAGGGCCTTGGCGGAACCTGCTTTTTGTCGTCCCTTCTTCGTCACACTCTCGGGCTGGGCGAAAAGTGTATTCATCCATAGATGTGTGTAGGTAGGAGTGTGTGCGTGTGTGTAAGAGGCTGGAAAGAGCGGAAGAGCTTGGGCCCAGTCTTCTACTCGCCGACTTCACTTCTCTTGCGGCTTGCCGCTGGTTAACGGGAACGGTACGGATGTCAGCGAGCAACGGCGTTTGGAAAGAGGAGAACCGACAAATGCCCATCCACGGATCCACCTTTAGGCCAATCACATGCACCCAGTGATTTCAAGTCGGCGGCCAGCCCGCGTCTTAGGAGGTGCTAGGCCTTTGGTACCCCCATCCCTTCCCCCCCTCGTCTCCGACGTTTTCCATCTCCATTGACGCGGTCCATGCGCGCCATACCCGAAACAGGCAGCTAGGCGAGGTAGGAGGCCCCAAGCCGAGCCAGACAGCGCGCTCCCTGCGGTGGAGTTTTCGTGCCTCCTTCGCTGCGACTTCGCACGCGCCACCCCGAATTCCCATCTTTCTCCGGGGCACCGGCTGGGCCACTTGGCTCTGGGGGGAAGGAATGCAAACTGCTGCAGTGGCAGCAGTGCTTGCACCAAGAGCCCACATAGAAATTTCCAGCGCAAAAAAAACCTTGTGGGGGCCTTGATGCCTTGGGGAGCATTTTGCCACGTCCTGGTTGGTCAGATCAGCTTCCTAAAAAACCCGCACACGACACCCGCTCCACTCTCCGGCCTACCGAAGCTCGCAGCGCGCTGCTGCTCTCGGTTTTTTTTTTTTTCTCTCACCCCCGTCCGATTTCCTTACTAGCAAGGTTCACCTATTATTTTCGCATCCCTTATATCAACAATCGCCTCCCACTTCTTCCATCTTTCTCCCACTCAAAGAGACGTTGACTCATCACAGTTGCTTGACGATAAACAAACAAACAACGAGATATCAACCAGCTTGACTCGTTTCTATTCACGAATACCCACGACACCTACACGACCCCCGATACCCAATCCGAAGACACTAGAGGCTGAAAAAAAAGCGACAAAAACTTTCCCGCCCGCTCCATCACACGAGCTTCCTTTCCTACCTCGCCCGCAATACCTGATACCCAGAAGTAATATCACCACCACACAAAAAATCACATTCAAGATGAAGGTCTTCTCCAACGCAGTAACCTTCAACTACTCCTGGGAAGAGGTCTCAGCAGCAAACTGGCGCAAATACTGTCCGTGGAACGACAAGACGACGCACGTAATCGCCGTCGACACAATCGGCCGCAGCGTCGACCCAGCCACGGGGATCCTCCGCACCGAGCGCCTCATCACCTGCAAGCAGTCCGCCCCCAAGTGGTTCGCCTCCCTCGTCGGCGGCGGCGGCGGCGACCCGGACGTCTCCCACGTCTTTGAGACCTCCTACGTCGACCCGGCCAACAAGACCGTCACAATGGTCTCCCAGAACCTGACCTTCGCCAACCTCATCTCCGTCCAGGAGTCCGTCGTCTACAAGCCCGTCAGCCCGACGCAGACGCAGTTCGTCCAGGACGCGCAGATCACCGCCCTCTGCGGCGGCTGGCAGCGCATCAAGAACGGCATCGAGGACCAGTGCGTGTCGCAGTTCCGCAACAATGCGCAAAAGGGCAAGGAAGGGTTCGAGATGGTCTTGGCTATGAGTAGGCGGGTGTTTGCCGAGGAGCGCGAGCGTGAGATGCGTGTTCGCCAGGGCGCTATGGCAGCATGAAGCGGATGATGGGGATTTGAGGGTCCAACACCGTGACTCTTGCTTCTTCCCCCCATCCTGGTTTGCAACACGACACTCGCGTTATGCAGCGTTTCTCGTCATTTTTTTTTTACATCTTTTCTCAATAAGCGGGCAGCATCACCACAAAAGGATTCGGGAAAAGGGTTACTAGACGGCGTTCAGACATTACATTTTTTCCGGGCCAAGCCCAAAGACGGGGAAGAAGTCTATTCACTCAAAACCACCCAGGTTTAGAGAGGATAAATACCATTCCCACCTGTACAAAGACCTTCGGCGTTTTAGGAATATCCCTACATGATAGAGCATCCGGGGGTTTTCCTCAGACAAGACATGTTCTTCTCGAGGTCCATTGCGACCAGAATTAGAGTGTTTTTAGAAATAATAGACCCCTCACAATGATCAGCAAACTTTATTGCCTCAACATGGAAATGTCCACCCGTTTCATCGTGATTCAGCACAACTGCATTATCCCATTCTTGCCGCAAGTCCACAACCCAGCGAAACTCTAAGTAAAAGGTAAGGAACTACTCGCTCACGTAGGTAGGTAACTCCTTCATGTCTCCATTCGGCTCCGGCACTTCTCCTCATACCGGGCCAGCGTCTCCTTGGTATCCCGATCCAGCGCCGCCTCGCTCCCGTACAGGACCCGCCTCGCAAACGCCGCGGCCTCGCCGAACCGGCGGAGGAAGTAGAGCTCCTCCACGGCGTGCAAGAGTTCTTGTAATACGGGCTTGCTGGCCTTTTCTGTGTTGAGCGGCAGCTCGATCGTCTGCCAAACCTAGCAAGGCAAGTATGTGTTAGTCAAGAACCCTCCCTTTTGATGATTGTCTGCCGCAAGAACAGAGGGGGCAAGCAGGCGGAAGGGGAGGGGAGGGGGGTGTTCTCCGCGGCCAGGGGTTCTCCGGGCGAGTGGAGAACCCGGTGTGGCTTTTGGTCGGGAGCCCATCCGAGCTGTGAAAAGGGCTGCCAAATGAGAACATGAAAAGCAGGATGAAAAGACCGAAAACCCACCACCCCCTCGCATACTCCATTTCAAAGGGCAGGGGCTATCAAAGCCAGCAAAATTGGATATGGATTGCTTCGGTTCAAAAGACATCGAGAAAGCAAGGGAAATAATGACTCACATCGCCGTCTTGCACCTTCACCCGATACGTAGCCCGAAGACTTTGGAAGTCCTCTTCCGACTGCCAGTCTCTGGGCTTCTGCTCCTCCTCGTCAGAGTCGTCGATGGCGATGTTGAAGAGGTCGCCTTCTTCGTCAGCCATCTTGCGCTGTTTTATTTTTTAGGCGTATGGCCCTTGGAATTAGACAAGAATCCGGAGTCAAGAGAGGTTTCGGAACTTTCGATGAAGTCCTTTCAAGGGTTCGGAGTAGTCTCTTCAGCTTGCTGCTGACAATTTTGGAACCGATCCTCTTTCGTAAGTCGACGATGGGAACAACTATTCTCGTCCGGCGTTCGAGGGGCTCGAGAAAATGAACGTCCAAAGAAAAGGTGATTCCCCACTCCGACCACTCCGTCGTGGTCCAGGTGGTCGGGTATCCAGTTCGCCGATTAATCAGTAAGATATCCGTACAGAGGCCGGCACGCTGGAGGAGACTGACTGACTGACTGACTGACTGACTTGGGTGGGATTATGCAACTAAACAATACGAATTGTGCTTGTGGCTGCAAATTTTCTTACAAGCAAGTCCTGCCGAAACGGTTTCCCCAACATGACATCAAGCCGCATGGCGGGGTTAGTGGGGCCGTTTGTGCACCTAGCGGGCCGCGAAGCTTCGAAGCTCAAACCTCATCCGTCCATTCTATCCCCCCCGCCTCTCCCGTCCCTTCATTCCGATCTTCCCGTTCCGTGAAACCTTTAATTGACTTCAACTTAAGGTACCTAGACTGGGGCTACATATACACGAGGGAAAGATAGAATAGTGTTTGTGTGCGCCTATTCCTTCCAGTCGAAATGGAGCAGCAAGTAGCCAGGCTTGTAGAAAAGGCGTGGGATAAGTTCCAAAAGACGCCCGAGGAGAAACGCCTTTGTGAGTCGATGCCCTTCATACGATGTTATGGAGCTTCCTAGCGCGTTTGTCGAAGATTGCCTACTCCCGGTCACCCCGGCTTCCCAATAGAGCTCCAAGATGGTTTTGGCTATCATTTCAATCAGCTTCTGCCCCAAAGCGTACAAAACAAGACTAACGTCCCCAAGTGATAGGAATCTCCGGCATCCCAGGCTCAGGTGAGCACGCCTCCCAGTGCCCTCATTCACCCGCAACTCAACACTATCTTGGACACAGCCTCTAACACCCCAGACCAGGCAAAACAACCCTCTCCCAAATAGTAACAACCCGCCTGAACGCCCGCGCCAAAACCCTCGACCCCTCAGACCCAACCCGCACATCCCACCCGCCCGCGGCATTCGTCCCCATGGACGGTTACCACCTCACCCGCGCCCAGCTCTCCGCCATGCCCGACCCGGAAAATGCCCACGCCCGCCGCGGCGCCGCCTTCACCTTCGACGGCGCCGCCTTCCACAAGCTCGTCACGTCCCTCCGGGAACCCCTGAGGGCCGACTCCTCACCGATATACGCGCCGAGCTTCGACCACGCCGTCAAAGACCCCAAGGAGGACGACATCGCGATTCAGCCGTACCACCGCATCGTTGTGTTCGAGGGAAACTACCTTACGCTCGACAAGTCGCCGTGGAGCGACGCTGCGAAGCTTATGGATGAGCTATGGTTCGTAGACGTTGACTTTGAGGTGGCGAGGAAGCGCTTAATAGGGAGACATGTTAAGGCAGGCATTGCAAAGAACGAGGAGGAAGCTGACAAGAGGGCAAGAGAAAACGATCTGGTGAATGGGAAGGAGATTGTCGACTTCCGCCTTAAGGTCGATGAGGTTGTTACCAGCCGAGAAGATGACGAATGGGTTCACGAATGAGAAATGCACGGCACGGTGTTCGGCCTTGGCTAGGGGGTTCTTTATTGCTCGCTGTCAACACTTAATCGTGCCGGAACTATTATGAGGTCCTGTTCTGTCCTGGCCCGTCCCGATCATGTCACCGGCACTTCTGCTCAACCAATTGTGCTGGATATCGGTGGAGACTCGCATCCCAACTATCTATGCAATGCCGATAACCATTCTCCTTCACACTTTCATCTCACTCGGCCGTGGCCCCCGTGAAGCTGCCGGGAAACTTGGCTGCGCTATAACCTGTAGCGAACATAGAGCCTCCTAGTCCCCGGCGTGTCCGAGGCTGGTCGTTTCCCTGCTGTCGAGGGACTTTGCCGTGGCCACTGGGCTGGAATGGCTCTGTATTGGGCGAGAACGCCCCGCCATTTTGGTGAACTGGACCGTTCATATCCATGCCCGCCCCGGAATCCGGATAGCTGATGTGGTACGTGACCGTTACAGCGTGAACGACGCCCACCGGGTACATACCAGGGATCATGGTCTGGGGATGCATCTGAGGTTGCATTTGGGTCGCGTAGTGCACTTGACCCGGCGCCATCTGAGGCATAGGGATGCCAGCGGGCATGGCATAGCCTGTGGGATTGAATGGAACTGCAGGGGCGGTCTCGGGACTCTGCACAGGAGTGGGCGCCGGCGCGGTGACATCTGGCTCAGCCTTGACGGGAGCTTCAAACTCAACAGCCGAGTCGTGCGAAGCGTCAGACATCGCGTCTCCCTTGTCCGATTCAGCAGTCTGGGGAGGAATCGGAGGCTCTTTGGGAAGAACATCCTGAGAAGCATGCTGAACATGCGCACGCTCGATGTCAGTATTGGCACTCGCGTCGACCGGATCGGTCGACTCCATGGCGGTGCCATTGGACACATGTCCCTTTGAATTGTCCTCCCCATGAGCCTGGGTGCTGTCAATGGACGTCTTCGCAATGCTGCTTTCGACTTGCATCTGGTTCTGGGTCTCGGTGCCGATATCGATCTTAGTCTTGGATGCATCAGTGATTTCTAGCTTGGCTGCACTGTTTTCCTTGTTCTCTGCCTTGCTGTCGGTGTTCTTCTCAAGGTTTCCCTCGGCCGATTCCTTGCGTGGAATTTGAGATTCAGTTGAGAACTGCGCAGTAGTAGCGACTGCCTTGTGGTAGTTGATAGCTTCAGACAAACCAGGCATTGAGACCTGCGAGACACCACCGGTGCCTGTCTGTGTCTGCGTAGTTCCTGAAATCCAGTCCATGAGCTTTGCGGTCTCGTTATTTGGCTGAGAAGTTCGCACTTTCTGATTCTGTTGCAAGTGAGGCGGCAGCTTGGAAAACACACTTCGGCTGTCCTTTTCGAGAGGAATCTTGACGTCCTTGATTCCGGCAGGAGCTTCAGCAGAAGAACGTCTCTCTAACAGCTGTTCAGGGCTGTACTGGACCCGAGGAGGGCGGTCTGTAGTGTACATGGGGGAGCCCTTGACGTTGGTCAGCTTCAGATTGCTGAAAGCATCCGTCAGGTCTTCCTCGCCATGATCCTTCTTCATAGGCACCACCTCAGTGGCCTGAACGGCGGTCTGGGTAGGGGGAGCGACGTCGGGAGCAGCCGATTCGACGAGAGCGATGGTGCCCATGTTCACCTCATCCTGGGAAGCAGCCATCTCGCGGAGATATTTCATCACCTTCTGCAGCATATCCGCACGCTGAACGAAGTCGGCAGCCGTCTCGGAGTCATCGAACTTGAGGCTGTATCGCATCGAAGGACCCGAAGCGGAGGCTCCGAAACTGACGATACACATGTGGTTCTTGTGGAAATCCAGAGTGTAGTCGTTCATGCTGTGGGCTTGGTCGAAGACGCCAGGACATAAAATGATGCAGACGGCATGTCCATTGGGGTGCTCGTCAGACTTGATGGTCTTCAATTTGATGACAATGTCATGTTCTTTGCCTTGAGCATGAGCCTTGCAACGGCCAGCCCAGTGGACTTCGGAGCTGTTCTTATCAGTCAAGTGAGGCTTCTCCGGGATATTTTCAGATGTCTCCTTCTCCTTGCCTTTGACACTGGGAGCGGCGTTCGAAGTCGGCGTTGGGGCCGAGATGGCAGTGTTAGGGGCGGCGACGGGAAAAATCTGAGTGCTCTTGGCTCTCAGATGGGGCGGCAAGGGCATGTTAGTCGCTTCAGTGGATCCAGCTCTAGCATTGCTAGAGCCTACGGTAGCTGGCCTGGCACTGGAAGGGGTAGTAGACGTGACCCTGTTTCCTTGGCCATTTGCACGGAGCTCATCAGCAGCTCTAGTCGAAGGGTATCGATGAAGCTGGGAGCCAGGAGGCATGAGAATGCCATTCTGGCTGGTCTGCATGCCTTGGAAGTTCGCCGCGCTATTGTTGTTAGTTGGGTTTCTACCAGAGGAGAGGAGTCACCTACTTGGGTCGACGTGTCTCGGGTAGGTGTCTGGCTGGACCAGCCGCGAGGGTTGGACGATAGACATTAGAGCCGCCCAGGTCAGGCAGCTGTCTAGCAGCCATGGCTTCAGCATCGTCCATTCCTGTCTCTGCAAGCGCTATCATCTTCATTAGTCAAGCTCCTGTCCTGTGAAGTAGATGGATAAAGCATACCTCGGTAGCCGTTGAGAGCCTCGGTATTCTCCACGTTAACAGGAGCGCGACGGGCGCGCGGCGGTAGAACATGCTTTTTCGGGGTGTCGTCAAGAGGCAACTCATTGATGCGGTCCATACCGAGGTCGGCCTTCTCAACGTCAGTCACACACAGTAAGAACGAGTTCCAGATGCGAAAGCAACGACTAACCATCATTGCGCGCTGGACCAGTTCTTCATTGGTAAGTGACGAAGACGCTGCCTGGAGGCGATGGCTGGGCATTTTGTCCGCCTTTCTGTCGGTTCCCCAGGATCCCATGTTTGCAGGCAAACTGAAAGTCAGTCTGGGATTTTCGCTAGTTTGATGTCGTGATTTGGTTTCGGCGTCTAGATATATCTCTGTCAGAAAGAGTTCAGACCCCGGGATGGTCGTGCTGCCCCCGGTTGTTGCCCCAAGAGAGTAGCAGAGCAGGCGCAGAATTGGGATGGGAATTAGGAAAGTAGGAAACAAGAGGAGGGCAAGAATACGAAGGCTAGTGGCGATGACAACGAAAATAATTGACGAGTGGTAGATGAAAACGCCAGTAGAGGTTCAGCTTGCTGGACGCTTACCGCTGGAGGTTCTTGGACCTTTCTTGCTGGTTAAAGATTAGTAGATGCCGTCCCTGATGGGAATCGACGTAAAGAAGACGTAAGGCAGAAGCCTAGGGTGAAGTTTTACTCGAGTGGTACAGGAGAAAATAAGTGAGTGATAGTGATGGCAATATTTGCCCTGGTGGAATGTGTGTTGTGGTGTGGAAACCTGGAAGAGAAGATTTTCAGAATGTGGGTGTTTTTGAGGAAGCAGAAGGAAAGGGAGAAGTGGATAGATGGCAGCAATACCTGGGGAAGGCTGTTATAGGGCAAGAGGGAAAGAGTAGTTCTTACCTTGGGTAGAAAGCCGTGCTATCGGTCTAACTTCGAACGAAGTCCTGCTCCGGGACGGAGTAAGTGAGCAGGTCAGTGGAAGGAGCAGAGAGTAGAAGCGGGAACCAGAGCAGGAAGAGCATATGGCACGATGACATGAAGCAGGAACAGACTGAAGTCAGTACCTGCTACTTGTTCATGAAATGCAACGGCAGGCACGGATAACCTTGGTGCAAGAAAAGCCACATATATGGTATATAAACAAAATGTGCTGTCACTTATGAGAGCATTACTAGTACTTGATAGAGGGCTGCGTGATGAAAAACTCTGCCTATAGAAATATAGATTCCTTTGAAGGCTTGTGGCAAGCGGAAATACTAAAGATGTGCTGACGTGCACTTCTACAGGAACGAATCCCATCACCATGGTGAAGGGCTTCACTTGCTCAAGATTTCTGCTCTGGATGTTCTCACCCTTTAAGCATGACCTTTCAGCATCTATGGCACTACAAGTTACCGGAAAGGGAGACATCGGTCAAATAAGAACGCACCGAAATCTGCTAGTTGCAATATTGAATGAAAGGAGCAGCATTTATGGCTAGAGTAGGACCATACTTTGCTCGAGTTTGTGACCTTATACCAATGAGTCATATATATATGGAGGAGCTACATCCAAAGATGGAAGTTGATGGTTCAATCTGGACGGAACTGGCCCGAAGAGAACGCAGTACTGTATTCGGCGTCTATTGTATCATTCCGGACTTTTCATTCCGGTGACGCATGTCATGGGATCACGCAAAGTCGTGGATGACCCAAGTGGCATGCTGAGCTTCTAGAGGTCACCTGGTATCTCATCGGTCGCAGAAAGGAGAATCCGATGTGTGTGTATGGGCCGCGTCTTGCCATGGAAAATTTCATAGGAAGTTGAGCATAGGAACTTGAGGGTTAAATCAACTTCTTGCAGTTCGTTGAACCGCCAACTTGGGAGTCAGTCGGATATCCTCCATGGAATGATTCAAGAGTCCTTGTGCTTAATTCATTTTGAAGTAGTTAATATTCTCAGCAGTCGAAACCATGCCAATTCATAGTCATCGCGGAACGAACAATGGGGTGTTGGTCAAAGGCACATCATGCCATGTCATTTACTCATATCATGCCGTACTACGGATATCTAGTAATACAAAAGCGTTTGCCCATCCGTCCAGTAGCAACCTTTGGTATATCCATCGCTTAAGAAATTTTTAGAAAATGCTTTTATTTCGCAGCATCCTTGGGGACACCGCTCAGGCCCTCGGTAGCCTGACGGCCGACGTTGCTAAGGTCCTCGTTGGCCTTGGAGGCAGGGCCTCTCAGGCCGGAAGTGGCGCCGGTACCAGTGCCGACGGTAGTCTCGGCATCACCACCGCTGCCGACGTTGACCTTTGTGGCGTCGGCGGATTGCCAGTCGGAGGCGACGGGGGGCTGCTCGGGGAGGGGGAGGTTGGACTGGACCTCGCTGATCTTG